AAAACATGAATATGGTTTGTCTGGAGAAATCAGGATTCTGCTTTTAAACACTTTAAAAAAATGGATATATAACATGCATAGAAAAATACAAAATAATAAGTGCCCTATAAATTTTCACAAACTGAACACACTCATCTGACCAAGAAACGCAACACTGCCAGGACTAGGGAAACCATAGGGAATGGTTGGGACTATGGCAAATAGGAGGGCATGTCCTTTCTAACAGATATAGCAGGCTCGTGGCTCATACCAGTGGTTGCCATGTAGAGATAAAGGTGGATTGTACAGGCTGAAGAAAACATGGCAGAAGGCCAGATTTGGTTCACAGGCCCTTGTCTGGGACTTGGCGGGAAGGTATGAAATAGCAATAAGTAGATGAAAAAATGGATGGGGGCAGAAGAACAAGGGGATGTCAGTGTAAGAGAGGTTGACATTTTAGCTGTAGCTAAGCACGGCAGGGATAATGGCCATGGAATTACCTGAGCTCAAGGTTGTATAAGAAACCATGGCTTGAAGTTGTCCTAACACAGGAAGAAGGCTTCTTGATGCTGGGAAAGATTCAGAGACAAACCTGCCAGTCAAGTGCTCACCTTTCATATACGCCACCTATTTTAATCACTAAAGTACCTTTAAAGAGCTCCACTCCCATGACCAGCTGTTCTAAATCTTTCTCTCCCACTCCTTTTGCTCCTTTCTACAGAGGAAGGTTTTTTGCTTTCTCTCCTGCCCTCACTGCCTTGTCTTGCTTTTTTGCATATTGCCCTTCTGTGTGGAGTTCCTGAGGTTCTCCCTCTGATGAGATGTCTCACAGCACACATACTGCTGGAAGATTTTGGCACTTCAAATCTTTTTTGGAAAGAAGCAGATATAAATTAGTGAAATGAAAACAAAGTCCTGTTCACAACTCTGTCTAAAATTTGAGGCATCTCGTAGACCTCTTCACCCTGGCTATGGTGCATGGAATACTGAGTAGTGGTGGGAGGAGGGAAAATCTGGAATCGTTAGCAACTAACTGCATAACTGGTAGATCTAGGGAATGGCTGCCCACGGGACACAGCTGGTGAGAGCAACATCAGAAAGAGAAATGCTTTACTCAGAAATGTTTAGTTCAAACTAAACATCCGAATATAAATGTATATATCTGCAGTTTACTAAACAAGACAGTGCACAATGAGCATTTAAGCTTAGTTGCCTGGCAAAGAGTAGATAATCTATAAACCTTCCACCCCACTCCACCCTACTATTGCTCTATCAGGGTGTATATGTTATGTGATGCTTTATTTATTTAAGAATCCTGCGGGTTACAGTCTGCTCTTTTCTCTCAAGCTCTGCGGCCTCACTGATCTGAACTACATGGCCATAATGGTTTTCTGTTGACTTGGGAAGAATGATGATTTTGAATCATTTCAGTCACATGTTAAAGCTGAAGTCTCTAGTTCAGAGATCTTGAGTGTTTTTGGAACTATTACATTTTGCCTTTTATAAATCATTATTACCTTGGACTCAGTATAACGCTACAGCTGGTTTTTCCGTGTGTGTGAATATTTTTTTATGCTCAGTGCACATTCTGTTGAGAGATCAAGGTACTTTAAATACATTTGGACAGAGGTAAGACATAAATTAATGAAATCAAAGTGATGAAAGAGATTTTTCCCTCTGAAATCTCTTTTTTTTTTCACCCCGTATCCTTTAGTGCTTTGTACCAAGCACTGTCAAATATTTTAAGCATTGTAGCATGAAATAAAACTAAGGAATGATAACTATGTATTGGCTTCTCTTTGGTTAAGACAGCACTAGTTATGAAAAAAAAAAATATTAGATTCTTCATACTTTGAACAAAAAATCCTTACTCAACAATTTAGGATAAGTTATAACTTTTATTTTAAAAATTTAGCATTACTTAGGAGAAGTAGCGTATAAGTGGTGATGGGAATGGGTTTTACGATCTACAAATAGTAATGTATGAGACAAAGGCAGTTTACACCACTAAGAATTTAGCATGGAGAGTCTACGTTTTGGTTTAGGGTTAAAATATTGTTATTTGAATCTATGTTTTAGAGGCACTCAAAACTTAATGCACAAATGCACACATACATTTTTATGTAAACTAGACTATGAATTCATTTTGAAATGTTTTTCTTCAAAAAATGATGCAAGTCTTTCTATTATAATAGCTACATCTACAATGTTGAAGTTAATGCTATTCTTGAATATTGTATCCAGTGTTTCACTATTTTAAACAATGCTTAGATGATCATTATTTACATGTATCTTTATATGCCTGTCTCATTATTTCCTTAGGATAGTCTCCTGGAAGTGGAATTACTGGAACAAAGACTATACACATTTTACAGCTTGGAATATCGATTTCAAACTTCCCTCCCAAAAGGGTATATCTATTTACATTCCCACCAGAGTGCTCTTCTTCACATCCTTGCCAGCACAGGGTCTTCTATTTCTTAACTATCTTTACCATCTCATTGGCATATGTTTAGTTACATATCTTTGATTATTTGTGAAGGTTTTTTTAAAAATAAATTTATTGACATTGGAATTTCTTCTGTTGTGAATTGCCTGTTCATGACCTGTGCAGGTGTGGAGCCTTTTCTGATTGTGGTTTTATCATATACATTGTTAGCCTACAGCAGACATCACAGGCCTCTAGAGGTCTGTATGCACATTTGAAGCAATTCTGGCTATAAAAAATAAATAGGGCAAGACAGAAAAAGGAATGACTCAAACCTCTTACTTCTTGTATGAGGTAAACAAAACATTCTCTCCAGTGTGGGTCAACACAACTAGCACTTCTTGGTAAAGAAAAAAGGGCTGCGCTGGCTGCTGAGTCACTTAAATAATGTTCCACTTGACAACACAACTTTAATTCCTTTTGCAGATAAAGAAGGGCTTACAGCTACTCCAAGCTCCAAGCAATGCTTTAATGACAATAGGATAAATATACCCACATATACAATGCCCCTTGACTTATGATGGGGCTACATCCTGATAATTCAATCATAAAATAAAAATATTGTCAAGTTAAAAATCCATTTAATACTACATTGTGGTATCTCAGTTGTTTACCCTCTTGATCACATGGCTGACTGTGAGCTGCGGCTCACTGCCACTGTCCAGCACCACGACAGAGTATCATACTGCATATTGCTATCCCAGAAAAAGTTCAAAATTCAAAATTATAACTAGTTTCTACTGAATGCATATTGCTTTTGCAGCATCCTAAAGTCAAAAAATCCTAGATCAAACCATTGTAAGTTGGGGACTGTCTGTCTGCCCCTCTCTCTCTTTCTTTCTCTTTTTGAATATGAGGAGTCCAGCTATTTATACAAAGTCCAATAACTATGTTATTATTTAATCCAGCTAATCTTCCTTTCTTAAATTAAGCCTTAAATGTCAAATATTTCAGGGCTGGAGATCATTTTAAACAAAATATCTGAAATCCAAAAGCCCTTTCCAAGTATTTTATCGCTTAAAGTGTTAAATGGTACTTCATATTTATGGATGTGTCCCTGGTATTCCAAGTTCATTATTTCCTATTTAAGCCTGACTTGCCTCCTGCATTCATATTTTCTGTCCAATGGCATGGCTCTCTTCCCAGATACTCAGGCAGAAGACTTCGACATCATCTTTATTCCTCCTTCTCCTTCACTCTCCACACCTAACAAATTTTTTTTCCCAATATAAATACACTTATTTTAGAATAGTTTTTAGATTTACAGCAAAATTGCAAAGACAGTACAGAATTCCTGTATTCTCCTAACTTAGATTCCCCCAATATTAACATCTTACATCACCATGGTACCTCTCTCACCACTAAGGAACCAACATTGATCTAATACTATTTGTAAACTCGTTTAATCAGATGTCATTGATTTTTTCCCCAATGCCCTTTTTCTGTCCCAGGATCCCATCTCCAAGATACATTACACTTAGCCATCATGTCTCCTTAGTCTTGCCTGGTGTGACAGTGCACATACTTTGTTTTTGACGACCTGGATAGTTTCGAGGAGTACTAGTCAGGTATTTTGCAGAATTTGGGTTTGTCTGATATTTCTCTCATGTTTAGGCTAGGGTTATTGGGGTTTTTTTGAAGACCATCACAGAAATGAGGTGCCATTTTTACAACCTAATCAAGGGTATATGCTATCAGCATGACTTACTGCTGCTGATGCCAACCCTGGACCCCTGGCTAAGTCAGTGTTAGGTTTAGCCAGGTTTCTCCACTTTCACTTTGCTTTTCCCACCCGCCTTTCCAAACTCATTTTGCTGATGAGGAGATTGAGGTTAGAAGTTAAATGACTAAGTCAAGGTTAAAGAGTAGTAAAACTGAAACTGAAACTTAAGGTTTCTCACGTCCAATTCTGCATTTCTCCTACAATACCAGAGGTCAGTGGGCCAAACCCTATTCGCTGCCTGTTTTTATAAGGCCCACAAGCTAAGAATGATTTTTACATTTTCAAATGGTTAAAAAACCAAAAGGAGACTATTTCATGACACATTAAACTTATATGAAGTTCAAATTTCCGTGTCCCTGAATGAAGTTTACTGGAACATAGCTATGCCCACTTATATACGTTTTGCCTATAGCCACATTTATGATACATCACCAAGTTGAGGGTTGTGACAGAAACCTAATGGCCTACAAAGCTTAAAATATTTACTATCTGGCCGTGTACCGAAAACGTTCGTCAACCCTGCACTACACCATGATACTAACTACCCGCCCAGGCAGCCTCGTCTTTGTTAGGGGATGAAGAAAAGAAGAAGCCTTTCAGCCAGAAGATCTGTTAATTGTGTACTTTATAAAGTGTAAAACGAGACCCTCTACCACATTTCTTTAGCTGGGCCCAGATTTGAGGTTTGCTGTGCTTTCTCACTCTGAGTGATGAAATCGCATATGTAGGGAGAGGGGTCGGGGGTGGGAAAAAGGCAGAGATGCAGAGACAGGATCATGAAGCAAAAAGAGACAGACAAATATACATTACCCTGGTGTTAGAACTGGCGAGGGTAGGAGGGGCTCCTTCAATTAACAGATGATGTGTACAATGAGCCAAAAATACCTCTTCAGGCAACTGTGTAACAGGCTGGGGGTCTTTAAAGGCAAGCACTGAGATCCTCCTCCCACACATACAGCAAAGGCATTCTTAGAACCCTTCCCTGCATGTTTCCAAGTCAGCTGCTCCAGCATATTCCAGAGAAGGCCCTCCTGGCCCGCTGCCCACTCAGGGCATGGCCCCATCATTCCTGTCCACACTGACAAGGCTGTCTACTCACCCAACTCCAAAACTGTTCTGTTTATTTTTAACTCAAGGAAAGGACAGAGATGTCTCACCATAACTGTCTTTTGGGGAGTTAAGTATCTGATTTTAATGTGTACAAAATATAGAAAATCACTTCTTTTTTTTTCTCAATATCTTTTATGAATACTCATTTTTCTCTTTCTAAGTTCATACTAGATGCCTATAAAATTTCTTAGGAGGCCCCTCCTTTTGAAGAGTATTTTGCAAAGCAGATAAGAAGCTGGCATTGATCGAGAATACCATAGGATCATCTTTGGAGAAGAAAATGCAACTGTTACAACAAGACAAAGGGCAAAGGGAAGCCCATTTAGGGATAACGTCAATAAGGAAAACAGCTAATCTCAGAAAGTTCAAGGTTAAGAACATTGCTGAGGCTGTGTAACCACGTTGACCTAAAGAACTCTACAGTTATTTCACATTTTATACTTTTCTAAATGTGTTTGATTATCACAGCAATACTGTGAGGTTAGGAATTAGCCTCATTTTTCAAGTAAAGCCCAGAGAAATTAAATGGTTCATTTAAGTTATCGCCATGAGGTCAGGGCTCAGAATGTTGCTTTCTTCACTAGTATACACCCAGAACCTACTCTTATGCCTTGGAACACAGAAAGTGTTCAATACAAAGTTGTTGGAAAAATCTTTTGCCTCCTACTATTTACATTGCTAATGGATGAAGATGACCCCTTGAGAGGCCCTCTCCCTTCTATTCCACCTTCAGAGGACAATTTGTTGATTGATGACTTGCCAACTTGGGCATCAGCTAAGGGCAACTCTGCTACTCAGTGAGTCAGCTACAAATAGAGAACCAGGAGAGGGACTCAACATGCCATTTCTGGAATATTTTAAGTTAATTCCAATTCAAGGGAGAGATTATATTAAGCAGGCAAATGTGGACACCACAGTATTTATAGAGGATCAGTATTTATAGAAGAGATGTTACTTCTTAAAAATTAAGTCTTAAAAGCTGCTTTCCAAGCTTACAGATAGAACTAACTTAACAGTTTAGCAATAAGAAAATGAAGTATAAGATGAGAATTCCACAGAATTCTATAGACTGGCCTTCTGGTAAAAGCCATATCTGTATAAAATAAAAGAGTATGATAAATCAAAAACTCAGAAGAAAAATCCAGCTGTCTTTTTGTTGATTTCTCATAAAAACAGCCGAACTCTCAATCACAGTACATTTTGTACAACTGATTCATTAACCTCTATTTACATAATGATGCAAGCATTTGAGGCCGCAATTTTCCTTGCAGTAGGCATGTTTTAAAAGTAAATACTATGACAATGCTACACAAGGTATGAAGATACTGAGTGAACAGCGTCATGGGCTTGCTGAACCTCTTAAGATTTTTTCTCCTTTCAGTCTCTGGAATGAATGGGGACTTTCTGGTAATGCCATCTAACTTGGCATTTTAGAGACAAATTGGGAATCACAAGGCATGAAAATGCTTTGCCAATGAAATCATTTTTCTGACTGAATAAGTAAGTGATCTTGGGGGGTGGAACGTGGGGTGGGGTCCATTTAATACCTAATCAGAAGTAGGGAGAACAAAGGAAATATTTAATGCTATTCAAGTTAGTCCTGCACTGAAATATTGGTTCTGAGAGATGATGAGAAAAGAATTTATTTAAAAAGAAAAACCTAGAGCAACTGATTTTGCCATTTTCCCCCACACTTGTATGTTTCCCTAGAATTTGCTAGCAGGCCACAGAGCTATGGTGGGATAACTAGATATATAAATCTCAGTATCTGACAGGGGCAAACGAGTTCCCAGGTGACACACTAGGGAGTCACTGGCTTAACAGTGGAAGCGGTGGCAGTTTTTCTCTTCGTCAAGACAACAGACAGCTCATAGTCCCCAGAAGAAAAAGGTTATTTTCTTGCCAATTTTGGTCAAAAATACGATTCTTTAGGAAAAATTCAGCAAAGGCTTCCTTCCTCTCCCCTACTCCACCAAGGCAGGCAATAGAATTGTATTTCTACAATGAATGGTTTTAATAATACTTTTTTTTTATATATAAATGTAATCATAAAGGTGACTTCCCTTTGCTTTGTGAAATGGAGACAAATTGGAATTGATTGCTTATGGAGATTTTGTTCCATATTTTTCTGTATATGCTATGAAATTTCAAAATTATTAGGCTAGAAGGAAATGGGAAAAGTCATTGGATCCACAGTATATCTCCTTGCTCCAAAGTGTGGCCCTTGGACCAGGAATATCAGCATCATCCAAAGGCCTGTTAGAAATACAGACCCTCAGGTCCCACCTCAGATTTAATGAATTAGAATCTGCTTTATTAGAAGATCCCCAGGCGGTTTGCATGCAAATTTGCATCCCTCTTCTTCAGCTGTAACTTCTCCTGAGTCTGAGAAGCACTCATCCAGCCTACAGATGGTTAGTGGTGGTATCTTGAAAATCAGAATTGCTTTGGCCATTGGTAGGATGGGTACCTGGTCAGCATGCTCATACCTGGAGGAAGGCAGGGCCCCAGACCATGTGGACTGAGGGTTCAGGAATAATATCACTCAAGGTGTTATTATGAGAAAAATAGAGAGTGGATGATAAGTAAGCAAATCAAAAGATATTCCCAGGTTTCATTAATTATTAGGAAAGAGCATCTGAGCATCCATGAGGCTCATTTGTGGGACTGTTGCTGTATGCACAGAGAAGGGGAAGCTCTTGGTTTTGAGGTTTTAAAGTTGATGAAATAGAAACCTAGAGCTATCAGGGCTATGACTTGGAGAAGGCTTGCCTGAGAATGAAGAAAACAGTGCTGAAAAGTAGAGAGAGAGATCAAGTCTTCATGACCTCAACTGTGCCCCTGAATATAGGGTCATAAATTCCAGGGGGACACCATCCACACTGTTCCCTCATACAATGTGAATGTGTCCCCTGGAGTTGTGCAACAACGTGGCAGCCCTTCTTGAATACAGCTATGCCTGATCCAAACTTTGGGTCTGGACTTTTGTTATATGTGTCAATAAATTTCTCCTCTTTAAAAATTTATTTTTAAAACTCCTACCTATAAGATAAATAAGATCAAATGCACAGCATGATGATTACAATTAATAATACTGTTATATACTTGAAAGTTGTTAAGAGAGTAGATCTTATCACCACACACAAACAATCATAATTATATGAGGGGATGGAGGTGTTAACTAACTTTATTGTGGTAATCATTTTGCAATATATATATATATGTACCTAATCATCACATTGTATACCTTAAATGTACATATGTTATATGTCAATAATATCTCAGTAAAACTGAAAAACAAACAAACAAAAATAAATAAAGACGAGAATTAAAACAAAAATAAAATAAAATTTATTTTTGGTTTAAGACAGTTGGAGATAGATTTCCTGTAACTCGTATTTAACTAAAAGACTGATAACACTCATGGGGGGCGCAGTTTCAAAATACTCACACGATGTTCATATCCAGCCCCAAACCTTCTCCTCTACAACAGACAGACTCTGATATGGCCCACGTGAGGATGAGGATGGGGGAAGGCAGTCAGGAGTATGCATTCTTATGCATCGCTGGAAATGAATAAATTCTGTATAGAAGGGCAATTTGGCAATTTCCCTTACTATTTAAAGTATATACCATTTGGCTTAGTAACTCTACTTCTGCAAACTGATACTATAGATAAATTAGCACGTGTGCCCAGAGACATATGTTCAAGAATATATAATTAAGTATTGTTGCGATGGCAAAGATCATACAGCCAAAATGTCCAACAACTGTCCAACAATTATACAGCCAAAATGTTCAACAATAAGTAAATGATGATCCATCTAAACAATATAACAAACATTCTGTAGCTATTAAGAAACGTGCAGCTCTACATTTGCTGTCCCGGAATAATTCCCAAATGAAAAAAAGTAAGGTATGGAGTAATATGCATAGAATGCTACCATTCATGTGAATAAAAAGCATAATTAAATAAGCATATGTGTGTATATACACATTTATGTGTATACATACATATGAATATACATTTACATAGGAATAGAATATCTTTATAGGAATAAACAGAAACTTAATAATAGTTGTTTCTGGGGACGGGTCAGGGTTGGGAAAGATACTGACTTTATATACTTTAAGTTTTCTAACTATTATTTGCATCCATTATACATTTAATGTCTTGGCATACACTGGAACGTTCCCTCCTTTTAGAACTACTGACGTAGAGAAGATGAGGATCCATGTCCCTGGCAAGATATCTGGAGACTGAGAGATGAGCAGCCTCCTCTTCTCTAATTAGACCAGGAGCTGAGCATATCATAGCCACTCAAAAATTCTTGAAAAATCACTGAAGAACTGTAATCAGAGAGGATGGAGCTGCAGGATCAGGAGTGGGAGTTGCTTTCCCCAGGAGCAGGAGTGTAAAAAGTTTGGGCCCTGGGAACATCTGTTTTGCTGTTAGCATGCTGCAGGGCAGGAAAGGTTCCCAGATGTCCATCCATCAAAGCAATCCTATCACTGATTTCTTCCTCTCACATGGCCAGAATCCTCAAATCCTCAATGGCCTCTGGCCTGCCTTACTGGCCATTTCGAATTACTGAGCCCTCCTCAGAACACCACTTTCATTTCTGAAGATCTTCCCCTCTAATATCTGTACAGCTGGAAACATTTAAAGCTTCAAGCACAGTTTAAATGAAAAGTATAAGCAAGGCTGTTTGTTGATGCCGAAGCTCTGACTCTCCTGATAACCTGAGGGTTAGATGGTCT